TATTGTGCCCGCCGATGTTCGCTTGTTTGAGGCATACAACTTTGCCGCTCTCGAGGCTATCCTCACTGGAGAGCCGATCCCGGTCATCAAAGAGATTGAGCCGATTCAGGGGGAGCAGGGTGTTGGCGACCGCATCAACATGGCGTTCTCTGGAACTGAGGTGACCAAGGGTGAGTCTGCTTGGATAGCGAAACGCGAGGGATTGCGCTGATGGTAGCAGGTCGTGCTCGTGGTATTGTTGTCACTACTGGAATGTCTACGGAAATGGGTGCGATTGCGGCTGCTATGCAGAGCAAATCCAAAAAGCCGAACCGCTCAGTCGATCCGAAGAAGAACAAGTTCAACCCGATTCGTGGATCCGCTTTGAGAACCTGGGATGCCATTGGAAAGTTCTTGGGTCTTACTGAGGGAACTCCGTTGCAGCGGAAGCTGGCGAAGCTTGCGTACACGCTCTTTGGATGCGCCATTTTGCTCGCCATCATTGTGTTTGCTGTCAACAAATTCAACGTTACCCATGAGGTCACCATCTACGCCATTGCTCTTGGTATGTGTATTCTTGGAAAATGTGAGAATTTCGCTGACATGCGCAGGTATCGCCATTATCCCCGAGTCCTTGATTGCCGTCTTGACTATCACCATGGCTGTCGGTATGCGTCTCATGGCCAAGAGCAACGTCATTGTCCGCAAGCTTGATGCATTGGAGGCTCTTGGTGGTGTCTCGAACATTTGCTCTGACAAGACTGGTACCCTCACCCAGGGAAAGATGGTCGCTCGCAAGGCCTGGATCCCAGGCGTTGGTATCTACAGTGTTGAGCGCAGTCAATCCGCCAACAACCCGAAGTCTGGTTTCATCGTCCTTGGCGCTGCGCCGACGGCTGAGAAGGATGCGGAAGAGAAGGCCTACCAGCAAAAGCGTGAAGACCGTGATCAGCAACGTTCAGCTTTGGCTCTCAAGTTCGCTGATGACCCAAAGATTACCGACCGTCCTCAGGGCGACGCCGAGAAGGACCCCGGGCTTGATGTTCAAGACCACCCCGATGGCCACGTTCCTGATGTTACCCCCGAGCTCGAAACTTTCTTGCACTCTGCTGCGCTCTGCAACTTGGCCACTGTTCGTTATGATGAGAAGGATGGCTGGCAAGCCAGTGGTGACCCAACTGAGATTGCGCTCCAAGTTTTCGCCAACCGCTTCGACGGCTACGGAAAAAAGAATCTCATGGCCAACGGCTGGAAGGAACTTGCCGAGTACGGTTTCGACTCTAACGTCAAGCGTATGTCTGTTGCTTTTGGCACTCCTGAAGGAAAGCAGGTTATCTTCACCAAGGGCGCTGTTGAGCGTATAGTCGATCTTTGCACCTCTATCAACGTCTCTGGAACTTCTACTGCTATCACCGAAGAACACAAGGAAGAAGTTATCCGCCAGATGACTCTTCTTGCCGACCAGGGTCTTCGTGTCCTCGCCATCGCCCGTCGCGACGTTAAGAACCCTCGCTCGCATGCCGAATGGTCTGAGTATGAGCGTGAGAAGGTCGAATGCGATCTTACCCTGCTTGGTCTCGCTGGTCTTTACGATCCCCCGCGTCTCGAATCGAAGGAGGCTGTTCAGAACTGTACCACCGCTGGAATCCAGGTCCACATGTTGACTGGTGATCATCCAGGTACTGCCAGGGCCATTGCTCGTGAGATTGGTATTATTCCGAAGGATACAAGCAGCTTACCCGCCGATGTCGCCAAGGCTTTGACCATGACCGCGGCCGAGTTTGATGCCTTGACCGATGACCAGATTGATGATCTCCCTAATTTGCCTTTCGTTATCGCTCGTTGTGCTCCCAGTACCAAGGTCCGCATGATTGAAGCCCTCAACAGGCGTGGACGTTATGTTGCGATGACTGGTGACGGTGTCAACGACGCTCCTTCCTTGAAGCGCGCCGATGTCGGTATTGCTATGGGTCAGGGTGGTTCTGATGTCGCCAAATCTGCTGCCGATCTTGTGCTCACCGATGATAACTTTGCTTCCATCGTCAAGGCTGTTCGCGAGGGCCGTCGCATGTTCGATAACATTCAGAAGGTGTGTCCAAACGGTTTCTAGTCTTCTTATCTGAGTTATCTGACTTTCGGTTTAGTTCGTTCTCCACTTGCTCGTCTCCAACGTTGGTGAAGTCATTCTCCTCGTTATTGGTCTCGCTTTCCAGGATCGCAACAAGACCTCTGTCTTCCCGCTCGCCCCGCTTCAAGTCCTCTGGATCAACATGCTTACCTCCTCCTTCCCCGCGTTCGGTCTCGGAAAAGAGAGGCCCTCATCCGAAATTATGCGCCGTCCTCCCCACAACATCAAAGTTGGTGTCTTCACATGGCAAATTGTCGCTGACATGCTTGTTTACGGTATCATCATGGGTGGATGCTGTTTGGCTACTTTCTGCATTGTCATCTATGGTGCCAACGACGGTCAGCTTGGCGTGGACTGCAACTCGAAATACTCGGATATCTGCGAACCTGTCTTCAGGGCCCGTGCCGCTGTCTTTGCGCAGTTGACTTGGTTGATCTTGATTTCTGCTTGGGAGTTCAAGAGCATCCGCCGCTCCCTGTTCCGCCTCGACCCGTACCAGACCGAACACAAGTTCCCCCTCTTCCGTGATCTTTGGGACAATAAGTTCTTGTTTTGGGCTGTTATCATCCCCGCTCTTGTCGTCTTCCCCGCCGTGTATATCCCCGGTCTCAACAAAACCGTTCTCCGTCATGCTCCGATTACTTGGGAATGGGCCCTCGCGTTCGCTGGTGTTCCAGTCTTCATCATGGGCGTTGAGATCTGGAAGTTCATCAAGCGGTCGACTGGCTGGTTCAACAAGGGCGAGAGCGACCGTGTGAAGAGAGATGCCAGCTTGTCGTTGAAGCAGGGTTTCTTCACCATGGCTCGCAGCATGACCAGGACCAGCATTGGCTCAAGGACTACTACCATGGAGAAGAGACCTACGACCAATGGCGATGATCAGGTGTAATGATTTTACATGGTTGAATGATTGAGAATCTGGCGGATGTTATTGTTCATTTTTTTTGTCCTGTTGATGGTTTCGTCGACATCTGTTGGGTCATCTTGTTGGCTTTGATGTTTTTTTTTCTCTTTTGTTGTCCTTTTCGTTTCTTTTGATTGGGTGTTTGTTTGGAGCTCATCGTGATTGTTTGACCATGTTTTTGGTTTTGATATCCATCCAGTCCGTGGTTAGAGCGAGCAAGGTCCACCTACCTAGTGTGGTTACACCCCCCCCCGTTTATGTTGGCGTTGTGGATGGCTTCTAAGGATGCTGGTTTTACAAGGTCTGGACCACTTGAAACACAATCGCCCCTGTCCGCTATACTGTGGGTGTTTTTTGCTAGATGAGAATCTGGTGAGCATTGGCGGTTGGTGTTGGTTAGGATGAGCTCGGGAATATAACGCGTGGGGGTAGAACCCCGCGTGGTGTTGCTGAGTCATCCTGGGTTGTGTGGGAGGTGGATTTATAGAGGGGTGGATGCTTTGGGATGAGATGGAGAGGAAGGGGAGATGGAGATGGATTTGCTACGTGAAAATTATGCGCTTGTTACGTTATGCTAGTTACTACGATCGATAGTACGGGTTAGTTGGGGTGTGTAGGTAGAGATTGTAGAGACGTTGATGAATACGACGATGATGTTACTTTTGAAGATTTCGGTCCGCGTTTGAGTGATTTGTTCTGTGAATTTTTGTATCCGTGGCAAGGTTAATGCTCGAGTGATTGATGATGCCGGACTTCCAACTCAAAGAAGACCCATCACTGTCGATTGAGGACCTGAATAATCCAGAGTCACCCCCAGTGAAGTTGAGACTCTACTTTGCTCCGTAAGAGGAGTTTAAGAACACACGAGAGCGACACCAATCTTCCACATCACCCAATGATTTCTCCATAACCATCGCAACGTTGAAACACCCATTTTCTTCGTTCTTCTTAATCCCATCCTACACAGTTCTCCATGTCATCTCCCCCCCTACACCTACCAAGATTTCAAAATCCCACTTACCCTCCTAGTCGTACTACTCCACGCATTCCGGCCCCACCCGCCGCTGTTGAACCTGTTGTTTCCGTTGTTGTCGCTCCAAGGTTGTGTTTGAGTAGAGGCGTCGCGGTAGTTTAGTTGTGGCTGCTAGTTCCAGTACCCGGAACTGCTGATGGTGCAGAAGATGTTGCGGGAAGGTAGTTGTAGCTGGTGCAGGAGTTAGGGGGCATTGTGGTGGGGAAGGCGTTGGAGGTTGGTAGGAGCAGTGGGGGTGAGTAGTTGAGTAGTTGAAGGGGAGTTTCACTTTGTTGTGGGTTTGGATGGAGGTATAGATTTTATACTCGGAAATGGAATTGTGTGGTGGATAGGATGGGGATTTGGAATGAGGGTGGTGTTAAGTTATTAGGACCGCATTGATGGAGCCTCCACATACTAGTGAGACATTTCACTTGGTGTAAACGACTGTATTTCCAGCTAATTGTCTTCAAAACACACTCTCGTTCAACATTTCCTCTCCCTCAAGACCATCACCGCTCACACCCTACCCTCGCCTACACCTATCTCCTCCTCACCATAGAGCAGATCTTCAATCCCCTCACTCACTCACCCCAAACGCACCCGCAATCATCATCGCACCATTACAACACTACGCCGCGTGGTTGCCCAATTAACATAGAACCAGAACCATTGGAGGAGTTACTGGGGAACGCCTGGCGAGGGTTGGAGAAGGTTTGGTAGTTGGTCATGGTGGGGGGTCGGACAAAACACTGGAGCGCAGGGAAAGGGTTCAAGGCTTCATAGGAAGATGAGTTACTGTGAAATTAAGCCCTCCATCCTCGCAAGAACCTCGCGATACCGATTATAATGCATCCTTTGTGGACAAGTAGGTCAACCGTCGAGAGACCAAATTTAAAAAGGCCCCCAAGATTTTGATCGAGAAACCATTTTGGAGTGGCATATAAACCAGTTCCACCATGTCCATATATCCAAATTCCTCTGTGGCGTAACGATATCGCACCTCTCACCTATTCTGATCAACCAACTATTCTTAGAGGAGATTTTCTGGATCGAATCCAGGCAGAGGGACTTTCTTTTTGTTTCTCTTGCTTGTCGGGTGAATTTGCCAGTTTTTGCGGCGCACTGACTACATGGGGAGCTATGGTGATGGATTGAAGCGAGATGTATGACGTATCACTCGGTGCTTTCTTGTTGCGATTGGAGTTTGACAAGACTTGTGCCGGATAGATGGGTTAAAGAGAAATTGTAGTGATGAATCATCACCGAGGTTTTCAGGAAATCAAGCCTATTTCAGGCCCAATAGTTTGAACTTGAAGCTTCCACTGTACCACCAAGGCTCCTCGAAATGGACAATAGAAGACTCTTCGATCTTACCATCATGGCATAAAGTAAGCTCTTACAATCAGTCATACTGCCGGCAGTGAACTCTCCTACGTACTGTACGCAGCTCATTCAGCGAGCTTATGTCCATCATGGTACGCCGTTGTGGTTATTGACAAGTGGTGCGCATGCTCATGCACTAACGAGCGCCACCACGTGATTTGATAGTTTCAACAACTATCCAGTGGATACCTCTCCCTCCCTCTATGGTAGCCACCCAACCCTCTTCAGTTCCGCTTATTTTGTAGTGAGATCTGAATCTTCACCTCACCGTACTCTGATCATCCATCCAATCACCCTCACCACCACCGTCGTCATTCCCCGAATCTACGCTACTCATCTTCCCAAGGCTCGACACGAGATCACCACACTTCCACCACCGCCTGCATTATCAGATCAGATAGCTTCCCACCTCCCCCTCATCTCATCCCATCCACCCCCCAGCGCTGGACCCCCACAACTCTCACAAAGACATCTACCAATCACACTCCCCGCATCACCAATCTCCCCGGTACCCCCTTCCCTGCGCAGTACTGCCTCGTTACCTCCTTCCCCCAGCATGCACTCTGCATCGCGACCAAATCCTCGAGTTCCCCAACCGGTAATCTGATATAGACTATGTAACCTCGTGCCTCATGCGCCTCGTGCGGGGTTGTATAGGAGTAGTAAATAGTGTAAATGGTGATGATCCACGTGTAGGGATGAGACTCTGAGCCCTGTCTGCCCCGCATTTCCTCCCATCATCCCTCGTCTTTCATATATCCATCCCTCAGACCCGTCTCCTTCACCACTACCATTTCCCGGGAATCCACTCCTCCACGAACCAACTCTACTACCCCACGCAAACCTCCCCAAGCTACCAAACCGAACCTCAACCGAAACCAACAATGCACACCTCCAACTGCCCCAAGTGCGGTGCGGCCTTCGACGGCTCGACCAAGACGTGTAGTGCGTGTGGTGCGGTATGTTCTCTCTTCTTCCACGCCTTTATAAGACGGAGGCAAGCGAAAGCGGGGAGATGGCCGGGAGGCGGGGAAGAGAGGAGAGAGGGATGGGGGGAGATGGTGAGGATCAAGGCTGATTGTGAATTCGGGGTTAGACTTGTCCTTGTTAAGTGTCGGGCGTACTGGGGATGAGGGTGAGGGGAATGATGTTGATGGACGGAGTAGAGGGAACATGAAGGGATGTGGTCTGGTTTTCTGATCTGTGACGGGGCTATATGGGTGGAACAGGGCGATGGATTCGACTTGTCTACCACGAGAGCAGGATGGGAGGAGAGCGGAGGAGGATCACGATTTTTCACGGACAATGATGTTAACGACGCACATAAAATGCAACATAATTTCATTCATCTATCAGTGTATCAATCCCAGCCTGCAATCTTCTACACGTAAAAACAGTAGTAGTAGTAATTAGTGACAGCAATCTATGCGATAATCCAGCCACCCAGCATCTACAAAGCGCCCTGAGCCAGCATTCACCAACGCCGCCCAGCACCGTCTTCAAACAAATCCCATCCTCCTCACTCCTCCATCCCACAAACCGCAACCTCCCAGCCCAACGCAACCTCCTCCCAATCAACGTGACTCCAACCAAGCGCATTCCCATTCTTCCAGCAGCATCAAAGCACATTGGGTATTCAGTCAACAAACTCCAGGCAAAGCACCTCAAATGCAAGCACAAGCAGAAGCCAAATCGCGTCTCCATCCGACAGTAGTAGTAGTCGTAGTAGCACACACGCCGGCGGCGGTACCCTCTCCTCCTCTTCCTCCCTCCCACTGTAAAAGCACCAAGTAGCAACCCCCCCTACTGAGTCGCGCTTTTAACCCCATTGTGTATCAGCGGAGGATCAATTTTCGGTAGTGTCTCGTGGAGCCCGTTGAAGAAAGAACCAAAGTGTTTTTTCGCGGTGAGTGAGACCAAGTCGTTCATTACTTTGGCCGAGTGCTCCTCCGGGCTAGGGTTGTCATCCGGCTCTTCGCCGCCTTCAGGGGCTAAAGTCTTCTTCTTTCTTTTACCTTTCTTCTTCTTCTTCTTCTTTGCACCCTCGCCACTACCGGATGACATGAGCGTTGCAATGGGGAAGCAGTCATTGGCGTGAAACTTGTTCTGCGCTTTTGTAGCGCACACGGAATCGCAGAACCACACTTGGTTGCATCTCAAGCATGGCTCTGGACAGTCCTCAAGTTTTCCACAATATTCACAGATTCGTTTAAACCCAGGATACATAATACTCTCGACATCGTGCTCCCTAGGGAATTCTTCCGCAACAACAGATGGTTTAAGAGGCGATCTCTTCATCTGTTCAGAGCGGGCCAGTATGCGATCCTGCCTTGGACGATGTTCCCAGTCGAAAATAGGAGAGATTGCAACGCGGGTGGCGAAGGGAGCCAGCTCTTTGTAGTTCAGTCTGAACTGTCTCGTGCATTTTCCGGAAGCGCACTCGCAAAGATACATCGAATCGTGCAAATCAAATGGCTCAAAGCGAACCGTGCATCCCGTATCACGATGATACCATGAGCGAGAGCGTTCGGCTATGGAGATAGCATATCCGCCCCAAGACCAGCAAAGCAGCTGCTTATCGTCCGTCGGTATCGAGTACACATGGCGTCGAATTGTGGGTCGAGCAAGAATCCCCTTCATAATCGGACGTAGGGAGTTTTGGACAACGACGAGATCACAGTCAAGGACGACGGTGTTGTTGGCAACATCGAGTCGAAGGCCGTTGACGAAGAGGACTAGAACACTTCTGCCGTTGCGATCTACAAGGTTGAAGATCCTGTGTTCGCCACCCTCACGGGTATAAGATCTGAACATTGTCCAGATGGCGCGCTTCAAACTCCGGAAACCGGAAGAACTGGTATCGGTGACTTCCCAGTCGCCGTTCGTGAACTCATCAGGAGCATAGGTAGCACTCCAGTACTGTCGGAGATTCGGAAGAGCCAGAGGGGCACCAGGAGTTGCCGTAATCTCGATTAATGGAAGTGAATCGAGGGAGATGAAAGGAAGACTCCAGTTAGCCGCAAAATCTTGGAATTCACCATCTGGACTGTATGGAAAACGAGAGAGAACATCCTTTCGGCGATCATCAAAACGCAGAGGGTCATTGGGGGTGGCCGTAATCTGTCCACAGGTCAGTGTTTTCCGGAGATATTATTATGGATCAAAATTACCTGAATCAAGCCTTTGTACTCAGATTCATAGCGGCATGCGTCCAACACGTTGCCTTTCGTGACTTTGCATGGCAAGGGATATTCAAGCTCTAATCCATTTCCAATGTACTGTATGGAGCCCTGTGTCTCAGAACAACCTACGATTAACTCAATTTGTTCAACTTTCCACACCTCTTCCTTCACAGTCACGTCGAATTTGTGACCAAAGATATAATAACCCATGGCATTTAAGGAAGCTTGTTTCCTCGCCCCCGATTTTGACTTGGTTTTCAAAGCCCATCCTGTGATTTTCTCTTTCAATTCATTATCCCCGAGTGTAGCGTAGTATTTGATCATCCGTCCGAGATCTCTGAACATGTTGGGCCGTTCTGGAGACATGAACACAGCGGAACGGTCGTTAAAATCCGTTTCAAAGATGCTCCAGCTATTGTTCTTGCACGTGGGGAGAGTTGTGTCCGGTTTCCGGCCATTCCACGGAGCACATGCGACAAGCCGGATCATGATGTCCGTTGGGGGGGACTCATTGATGACACTGGATGGGACCCAAGTAGAAACCGTCAGCGATCCCTTCGGAGCTTCGTCAATCTCAACAAACGGGATCTTCTGAAAGTTCACAGGCCGAGCCTGAGCGCGGCACGGGAAGACGCAACCGAATATATGCGTTTCCGTGTCCTCAATCTGGATGTGAAGAGTTGGATTCAGTGACTCGTTGGCCCGAAGGACGGCCTCAAATTTATCAACCGCTTCGACGGGAATCATTAGTGTGACGCAGACCTTCTCGGGGACCTCTTTCCATTCTTCAAAAAGATCCGGAGGGGGAGTTGGCGGGGCTTCAACCTCAGGATCCGTCGGAGTAGCAGGAGGCTTCACCTTTGGTTTTGGCTCCGGGGCTAGGAGCTCTCTAACTCCGGAAATATGTAACTGAATGAGTAATTCTTGGAAGAAAATCCGACAAGGCCCCTCTTTGAGAGCTGCGAGAAAGCAATCCAACACTTCGTCCCATTCTTCTGCAAAGTAGTGTTGTCTAATCACCGCCAACAGCCCCGCAAAGCTTCCGAGCGTGCTGAACTGACAGACATCTTGAGTCCCATGAGGGATGTTAGCATTACCTGACGCGGACGCAGTCCGATCTGGCTGAAACAACTCTCTGAAAATGGACAGAAGAAAGTTGGCGAAAACTGTTGTCTCCATGCACATCTTATCAGAATCATTTGTATAAAGAGCCTTTTTCCAAACGAGGAAATCGAACCCCGTTTTTGAGATCGTGGATCCACTTGCTTCGTGATTCAGCCGACACACTTCAAATCCTTCCGAATCTGATGTATAGCCCAATGCTTGACCCATAGGTAACCAACCGATGAGTAATCTAAACATGTTGGGGTCCATCTCCAAATTCCATTGTAAGGCACGGGGAACTTCGGAATCCGCAGGTCTTCTTGACGATCGGGTAAAAAACGCCGCCGTGAAGGTCTTATCCATTAACGGAAGCGTCATAAGGAGGACGTTCAAATATCC